CTCTCTAGATCCCTGCCTACTTATTAATTAAAAATAATTTTTGTAATTAAATATAGAAAATTTTGATTTTTTTTACTATAACTATTACATTCAGTAACAGTTGTGAAAATATAACACCAAACAAATTCTGAAGTAGAGTTTTTGATAATTTATCATATTAAATTATTTTAATATAAAATTTTACTTTGTTTCAACATAAAACTGATTATACTGTTATGTATGCAATTATTCTCTTGAATGGAAAATTAGAAACAATAATAATTTTATAGAAGCATATTCTTTTTACTAAGCAAACATTTAAAAACTGATTGATCTATCTTCAAGCAGTATAAAATTTTCAAATATTTATTCTGTTTAATAAAACTAAATGATGTGGACTGCAATTTATCATATTTTTACAGAATGGATTTAGTAAGTAATTTTATTATTATTTGATTTGATATTTAGATGTTTAAATGCAATTTTCACAAAATACTGTAATATTAGGTTACCATAATTTTTAAAAAGGCATGTTTATAATTATCACAAGGATGGATTGGTAAGATTCAAAAAATATTTGCTTAGCAAAATATTTCTATACAGTAATTGTTTAATAATTAATTTGAATTTCTGTTGGATAATAAATATTTTTCAATACAAATGAAAGACAAAGTCACTCTAAAAATTTCAGACGATCACCATTTTATTTTCTTTACTGTTCCAGAACAGACCACAGACAGCCAGACCTTCCTTTTTAGGCTACTCAGCTGCCCATTTTTAAAAAAGTTCCTTAAAAGCACAGAAAACCAATAAAAATTAAAAATTTTCTTAAAATTGGAAATGGTAAATATTGCGACATCTTAATGGTTTCATCCTTATTTGTTCAGGGTTTTGGCTCCTTTATATCTACTTAGAAATAGTGCTGACAAATGTAGATTACAAATGTACATTTGTATTGGAAAATATTTATTCATCCGACAGAAATTCAAACATATTATTAAAATTCGTCACCAGAGGGATATTGCGGCATAATCTACATTTGTCAGCGCTATTTCTAAGTAGATATAAAGGAGCCGAAACCCCGAACAGATAAGGATGAAACCATTAAGATGTCGTAATATTTACCATTTCCAATTTTAAGAAAAATTTTAATTTTTATTGGTTTCCTGTGCTTTTAAGGAACTTTTTTAAAAATGGGCAGCTGAGTAGCCTAAAAAGAAAGGTCTGGCTGTCTGTGGTCTGTTCTGGAACAGTAAAGAAAATAAAATGGCGATCGTCTGAAATTTTTAGAGTGAATTTGTCTTTCATTTGTATTTAATAATTAATTATTAAATATTGGAGAAATATAAAACAAATATATAAATGAAATTTCACACAAGAAGTCTAAATACTGTATAATATCCAAAAACAAAAAATGTTAAATATTTAGCATTTTTATATATGTATCTGTTTCAATGTATTTTTACATAATGAATATTCTTATATAGGTAAAATTTACTAAATATCAATAAATAAATAAATAAAAGTGAATAACACTTTAATTATTTAATTTTGTTTTGTAATAATTAATTAAATTTAAAAAAATTATAAAACTGACTTAAATTAGTAAAAATAATTTAACAATTTATTGATAGTTTAATAAAACGTTTTAATAATCAAGTTATTATTAAAATGTTTATATATAGTTTATAAAATTAGTTAAAAACTAATTTATAAAATTAGTTATTATAGTTTAGTTAATTAGTAATTTATTTTAATTTCTGTAAGATGAAATCTAATATATTCAACTTATATATATAAATCAAAAATCAGATAACAAATGATCAATTACAATGTTTCTAATGTACCATCAATCATTTATGCTCTGATTCTGATATACATTCAAGACTTTCCTACATTATCTCCCTGATTATGAAATACTTAACAGCTTTATTTTACAGGATTCAATATATTCACAAGAAACTGTTGTGAGAGTTGCACAAGCTCTTGAGTTTATAAAAGATTTTGTATTGTAAGTGTTCAATATCACTTCAGCTAGGAAGGCAACATACATCACAATAATATTCAATTTCCTTCCATGTTTGTAGAAGAAAAGAAATGTAGACAATGCATTTAACTTCTTGTGATAAAATGTTTCTCACAAGTTAAATGGTTTAAAAGTTTGATTTCTTTTTTAAAATAGATTATTATTATTATTATTACTAAGCCTATTTATTATTTTCAAATTGTATATTTTATAGAATATTCAAATGATGAATATTTTTCTTCTTTAAAAATTTATTTTATTTTTGTTGAACAAATAATAACCTCTTTTGAATAACTTTAAATCAAATGCATTTTTACTGTTGTTCCATTTAAAGAATGAAAGTAAACTTCATATAAGTTTAAATATTACTACAATTATTAGACAATTCAATCTATTCCTTGATGCATTCCTTCATATTACAATAAGCCTTACTTCTTTAAGTAATTTATCAGAAGAATTAATATCATATATTTCTCCACATTAATACTTAACTGTAAAGAAAACTAACTACAGTGGTACCTTGGTATACGTCTGCTTTAGAATACGTCCAATCCGGAATATGTCCTATTTGGATGAAACAAATTTTGCTCGGTATATAACTTTTGTTCGGTATACAACTTAATTCAATTATACGCGCCATCTATGAACAAGTAGCACTATCGGTGTACTAAACCAGACTAGATGTTCACGGTGCCATGATTTATAACTTTGTTAAATTTCTTCTGATTTTAATTTGTAAGTAAAATTTTGTTATTTTTATTAATCATGAATTGCAAAAAGGCAAATGAAAAGCAACAGAAAACTAAAAAAATGACTAGAATCACATTGGAACTGATAAAAGAGATTGTTGAGAAATATGAAGGTAGCATGTATGTTTGAGATTTAACTGTTGCATACCATATTCCGAGAACAACGATATTGACAATCATGAAAAATAAAGACATTACTAAATCTGCTAACATTGTGAAAGGGGTTAAGGAGAGTTTGATTTGATTTGATTTTGATTTAATGATTTAAAAAATATAATACAATATACTGTAATAACTTTAAAAATCTATAATAAAATTTATTTTTTTTATTAATGTGCTAAAACAGTGTTTAAATTATTTTACAACCCCATTAACATACCATATCAAGAGGGGTTTTTTTACATGAGAACGGATTAATCATTTTTACATTACTTCTTATGGGAAAGGTTGGTTTGGTATATGTCCTGTTCAATATAAGTCCAAACATCAGGAACTGATCAAGGTCATATACCGAGGTAACACTATATATATAATATTTGTGAAGTAACATGTATTCTATGTAAGATTCCAAATCCTTCCAATTTTTATATAATTAAAACACTGAAACTTTTAAGATCTTAATATTTTCACTAATTTTTAGCATGTAACAAATTTATTTGTTTACAAAGCAATTTATGAAGAAAGAAGAAATCTATGTTTTAAATGAAATAAAATAATAATATTACTAATATATACTAAAAATATTTTAAATTATTTATTTACATACTTTATCTTTCTGCGCTCTCATTATATCAATATCCCTTTCTTTAAAATGGGGATCTTTCCCTGGATCTTCAGAAACAGTTAATTTAGTAGTCTGAAAGTTTAATATTAAATTTTACTTCAGAGAAAATATCAATATAAATAATTATTTAATATATAATATGGAATAATTTAGATATTTTGGTTATTGTCATGTTATCAAATTATTAATAAAATTATAATATTAATAGATAACATGAATTCATTTACACTATTTAAATATATATTTTACCAATAGCAAGAAAAAAATAGATTTAAAATATCATCATCTTATTCATTCAAAATAAGCTTAAAACAGAAAATGAATTATTATTTTGTAACATTAATTTTTGAAAATTTAAATTTTAAATTTAATTGGCCAAAACTAATAATGTAATATAAAAAATATTCTCAAAACCATAAGAAAAATCAAAGATATAACTCTGATCCTTCTTACTGTTAAATATAAATAATTTTTTACATTCTTCTAGTTTTGTTTCTAATATTAATATTTCCTCAATAACAAAATTATTATTTTAAATTAAACAATGTTGTTTTTTTAAATATTATTTTCATAATAATTGAAAATATCAACTATTGTGAAGAATGTAAACAATTTTTCAAAACCAACTGTTCATGTATAAGATAAATTTTAAAATAAAAATAAAATACTCATACTATAAAAAGTTGAATACATTGTATAAAAATTCAGTAATTTTGCAAATTGTTTCAATGGAATTATTATGTAACTTATAAATCTTGCGATGAATAATCACTGCAAGATTTCAATAACTCCATTATAATCCACATAACAACTTCATTGAATCAAATCATATACTAATATTAAAATCTAGTATTGACAATGTGATAAACGCAAGAATTGATGATTACTCAATTAATTTTATCATAATTATATATGTGACATTTTCAAAAGAAAGAAAACAACATAAAAAAATTTCAAAATTAGAATATTCAGATATTTTAGTTAATATATATAAAATATTTCTTTTTGCATATGAATAACAATAAACAAAAAACTGATTTGTAGCTATTCATATATCTGAAAATCTGAATTATTTTCAAATTAGAATTAACATAATTTTAGATAATTAAATTATGAAATTTAATGAAAAATAGATGGTAAACTGCCACCTTATGTTAAAATGAAATTTTTATACAAAAATAAAAATAATAAATAAAATTGTAAGATAAATAAATAATAATAGTTGTGACTACTGATGATAAAACTACTGATGAAAAAAAATTTCACAAGAATTATAATTCATTAATTAATTGATATCTTTTTTTATATTTTCTCTTTTCTAAGTTTCCTCATTTTTTATATTTATCATAAATAATTGTATAAAAATATTTTTTGATAAATTTTATATCTTACATCTCTCTGTTATTTCAAAGGTACTAATTTTAATTATCTATTATGTTATATTTTATAGCACAATCATTATATAACATGATATTACTGTTTATAAAGACAAAAATTTTGTAATTACAGAAATAAGCATTTCTTCATAAGGAAAAACTCATACTTATGTGTTACTAGCAAAAAAAAAAAAAAAAATCTGTAGGATTCCAAGACAACAGAACACTCTATATCAAATTAATAGTATCAAATGTGGTATGTACTGTACATACTTCAGAAAGGTACATGCTAATAATAAAACAATGATGATAAATCTTACTGCTACATAATTACAATATTTCATTGTAATTTGTTTTTAACAAGATGACAGGTATATCTTAAAGTGATAAATATGATATATGAATAAAATAAAAGCCAAATTTTTTCAAAACAGTAGAAGAGTTTTTCTATATCTATAGCTAATAATCTATAAAAATGTTGTGCAAATGTTATAAATGGAATATATCACTCTACATATTTATAGAAAGAATTCTGACTACTCAGCAGTATAAAAATAAAGTCATTGAGTACTATAGAAAGTTCTTTTAGGATACTGTTGTCCCAAATTTTTTTAAATGCAATAATCATTATCAAAAAGCTAAAGTTATCAACAATTTTCTGAGAGTGAAGATATTGAAGTACAGATTGGCAAACTGTATCTCTAAACTTGACAGAGCATGGCTGGGATATATCTAGGATGATGCTTTGCAAATCATTGTCTTTCATACTATAACATTAACAATGTAATTGTACTTATTTTATAGCAACATAGTTTCAGAGATTATATTTTAATCACTTTATAGTAATTCCAATGGAAAATATAATATTTATATTCTCCAAAAATGCTTAGATATTAACAAATGGAATACTCTAAGAAGCACATTGTTGGATCGGTTGTTTTTGCACATGTCGACCAAGAGTCCAATCAAGTTACAGGTATGTATGGGTGCAAGATTCGAGAATGTCTTTTGTTTGGGTCAGTTGAACAAGCAGGACATGACCAGAGTCCATTCTGGACAATTATAACTAACCAACTTGTAGTTCTTTATGAGAGATTAAACAGGAATTTTGTAATTAGAGATCTTTACACTTTAAGATCCTAACAGTTATTGTGAGAATTTTCTTTCTTCATTGCATTCTATACCCAACTTGCAGGTTTAAACTATCTCATTTTAAAAGAAGTCACATTTCAGGCTTTTACAGACTGGGATCTTTGCTTCCAGGGTTATGCTTGATGCATTTACCAAATTATTGGTCTGGTGGATTTAGTATTGCCATTAGATTCCTTTAAGGCTTTTAAATTTCTTTATTTATTATTAGTGTTTAAAAAGTTAATGTAACTTAGTACCTCTAAAAACTTTTCTAAAATAAAATGCTGCCTTATAGACACCAACAACATCATCTATTTCAAATCTAAACTTTGACAGGAATTTAAAAGCATATATCTCATTCCATAAATCTTTCATGCATCATCTCATAACTGAGTTAAGTTTTTCCATTATTTCTTATGATCAAAATTTGAACCTCATTCTGATATAATCCAGTTTCCCAGCCCACGTTTCCTAAATGACATTAAAGTGCTACAAAACATGTATTTACCTATCAAGCAATTTTTCCAAGTGAAATGAAATATAATAAATGAAAGTGTTGATTAGTTTATTCACTGATATAAAAAGAACTAACATGAAATGAGAAAAGCAAACATGTAAGTTATTAGATATTTCTTTATTTAATGGTAAGTCCAACAATTAGTTAAGACAATAAGTAAGCAAAAAAAAAGTAAAATAGAGAAAAATAAAATTATTTTTAATTAATAAAATCATAATTATCTATAGAAAGTTCTGTAATATAGAGATAAGGTACACTAAATACATGTGACCTTTCGGGTCAGCACCTCCTTGGTGCCCTGTCAGGATTGACACACATGTTAAAATTAATAACATTATCCCAAGCTGAATGTAATTTCTGTATCTTGTTTTATTTTATATGTAAGCTTAATGAAACATAAAACGTACTAAGCAAAATATATAATGTATATTAAACAAGAATCTTTTAATCTTTATTTGTAATAGCAGTTAAATAGGATGTTCTTTGTAAGTTTAATAATGCATTTATGTAATTTTAATACTTGATTTTTGTGAATATTTAATTAATAAACCTTTTTAACATTTTAAATCTTTATATCCTGTATTATCTTTTATATCATTTCTGTATAATTTTTATCATATATCTTAAATGTAACAAAAATAGTAAAATGTTAAGAATAAATAACATAAAAGTAATTAAAAATTAAAATATGAAATTGATTTAACATAAAAACACACAAAATTTGGATACATACCACTTGTGGAAAATGAGATAAAAATATATGTTTCCACATATCTATAGATCTACAAAATAAAAATTTTTCTTTTGTAACATTTAATTTCAAACAATAAGATAAATGGAAAGTAACTAGGCATTGAAAAATCACTATAATTTCTATTGCTAATGCAATAGAAAATTATTTGACATGTACTTTATTAAATGGAAATACAGATGCATACTTTAAAATTCAATGTAAGCACTGGTGCTATCCACTGACAACACATTTTCCTCAGATTATGACATGGATGGAAGGCCACTTCTCTGTGCATCCACAACCAAACTTGTAAACATTTTAGCTTAGAATGACAATTCTTGATTGTTTCTGGACAGATTATGGCATGACATCCTTTCACTGTTCACCACCATTTCTGCACAGTAGCCACTGATTTCCACACCTCATAGTTTGCAGCAATCTGTGATTGCTCCTGAATAGAAAAACAGTCAGCCATCTTTTTTGTCACTGTACATGCAGCCTCTCTAGATCCCTGCCTACATCACTGATGTGGGAAATATAAAATTTCATTGATTGATATACAAATACACACATATTTTATGTGATTACATTATTATTCAACAATTATAGTGATTTCTCAATGCTTACTTTACATCCACTTTGTATAAAAATGTTAAAAATAAAGTATCAAATATATATATCCGGCCTCCAGAAATTCGTAATTACCAGAAAACCGGCTATTTTTGAAAGTAGCAGGTTTTGAATTTGGCCAGCTGTAGCACAGTTGAAATTCGCCACTTTAGTTTGGATTTCGTGATGGACATGTCACGCGACACCAGTTCCATTGTATTCTTCACTTCTATAAATAGTGCACTATATATGATATTTTATAATTTAAGAGGACCTTAAAAATGATTATATAGACCTTGCTTTAGAAGTGTATTAATTTGTATCTGTTAAACACAATTTCATTCTTTACGTACCGTTGATTATTTTGTATATACGAGGTCTGTCCGGAAAGTTTCAAATAGAAGTTGTTTGCATTTACGTAGAAGCTAGTCGGTTTTGTTGTTTTCGAACTGGTTTCCTCCTCAGTCTATGCACTGATGTGTTTCTGCAATGAAAACAACGCTTCTTGAAATGTTTCTATTGAGACGATGCACAGCTCTGCTGGCGAATTTTCTTATATGGTGTCAATGGATTCAAAACTTAATTTTAATTTGGGAAACAAAAGTAAGGATGCTGGGGCTTAGTCCGGTGAATATGGAGGTTGAGGAATAAGTGGCGTCGAGTTCATAACCAAAGATTTTTTTTAACTGTTTCTGCCCTGTGGGAACTAAGAGGGCCTCTTTTTAGGTTTTATATTATGGGTTCGGCCAGGCCCACAATGGGGCGACCGGGTGATGAGGGACGGGTCCCGATATACCAGACCACTGATGAAAAATTCCTGGAGATCTTTCGACCAGTCCGGATTCGATCCCAGGTCCCACCAGAATAGTAGGTTACCACCTTGACCGCTCGGCCNTTAAAGTATTTGTTTCGATTATCCGGATTTTTCCTTATCCGGACTACCTTCATCCCCAATTAGTCCGGATAATCGAGGTTCTACTGTATATATATATTCTGAAAAGTTATTCAATACACTAGATACTCATTTATAGAACAATTTCACAAAATAAAAAATAACAATAATTCAAGTTACTGTAATTTCATGTAACTTTTAAACATAGATAATGTGATTTTTTGAACTTGATAGGATATGAAGTCATTCACATAAATGGAATTTCAGATAATTAAGAAACTTGTTTGTTTTTGTATTTTGGGTACAACATCAAGCACTGTGCATTTTAAAGTTTCATGAACAATAAATACTGTAATGCAATTATTTTATTTGAAGATAAATTAATTTACTCAAAATCTAACATAATGTTATTTATATGTTGAAAGTTTGCAGCACTATAATTGATAGATGATGTAGTGATTTTCAGTTACATGAAGAGGTTGCTCTCCATATATTACAGAAGGTTGATCGCGTACCATAATGACGATTTGTATATTACCCATAATTATAGTTGTAGGAAGTAGAATAAAAGCAACTGGCCCACATGCTGCTGTATATTCTGATTTTTACTTTTGATAAGTAAGGTTTATCTATCGCAAATATGCCACCTAAAATTTCAGCCAAAGTACATGTACTCAATCAGAATGTGTAAAAATTACATATTTGAGTAATTCAAATCAAGTGTGTGATGAGACACCATATATTGAAATTTTAAGCATACCAAAAGGTTTAACATTGGCTTTCAATTTATTGTTTGTGAAATGATATAAGATGAGTTCCATAAACATAAAGAGACTAATAGATTTCTATGTAAAATCAATCAGCCTTAAAAACTTTGCAAAAATTACTTGGTTTGGCTTACCTTGAACTTTCACAAATGCACATAAAAAAAATGATAATGTATTGGGACAGAAAAATAAACAACTTTAAAGAATTACAATTAGTTTGACTGACATAAAAATAAATGCATATAACAAAATTAACTGAAATAATTAATGATATGTTAATAAATATTATATCATTAATTGTTTTATTTTTATAATATATGCATTTATTTTTATGGCAGTCAAACTAGTTGTAATTCTTTAAAGTTGTTTATTTTTCTATCTCAATACATTATCATTTTTTGTATGTGCATTTGTGAAAGTTCAAGCAAACCAAACCAAGTAATTTTTGCAAAGTTTTTAAGGCTGATTGATATTGTTAAATTTTAACAATAACCTAATATCTCACCTAAACAAAATGAAACCTGTTACCTTTGGCTAGAATAACTTTGTAAATGTAATCTGTCATTGATTGTATGAGTTTTTGGAGAACAGATGTGCTTATTTCTTCCCACTGATGAATTATAGCTTGTTTTAATTCTTCTACACTTTTATATTGCAGCACATTTGTGTATACAGCTCTAGCCAGAATCACCAAGGTTTTCTGTCAAATTATGATTAGGAGATATATACATATAATACATATCACAAACGCCAATGAGTTAATATAATAATCCAACTAGAATTACTGGAAGAAAAAGATTTTCTTCCAGTAATTCTAAATTATTATTTAAATTATTTAATTAATTTATACAGTGGTGCCTCGTATAACGTACGCCTCGAATAACGAATGCTGCGAATAATGGACTTTCTGTTCGGCCGTTACGTGACTCGAGCAACGGACTGGCTGCGAACAACGGACTTTTCATTCGGCAGTTACGTGAGGCGAACAACAGCCTTTCTGCGAACAGGTGCGAATGATGTTTCCACACTTTTGCCGTTGCCAATGACAATCTGCTATTTTTATAATATGTTAGTATTATTAGAATATATTATTAGTATATCTGAAGTACAGAGCTCCCGTTGGGATTTGGATTGCTCCCTTGTTTATTACGTACAGTACATCACCTCAGTGCAGGGTATTTACATTTATTCAAGTGTTGTGCAAATCATGGCTTCTAAAAAAACAGAAAGGTGATTTCAATTGAAACAAAGCAAGAAATCATCAGAAGGAGTGAAAGTTGACAAAAACTTCCTTGTCAAATGGGGAGAGGTTCAGGAGTTTACCAACACTCATTATCCAAACAGAGCTGAGGCCAACAGGATCAATGATCTCTACAATGACACCCTTGCCCATCATTTCCGACAGGTGTTGAAGAAGAGAGAGAAACAGACTACCTTGGACATGTTTTTCAAGAAGCAAGCTGCCAAAAAACAAAGAATGGAACAAGAGGAGTTGACCCTGCAAGCTCCGGTAGTCTCTCCTGAATCTGACTCTGATTAAAAAACAATAAAAAGAGACCTGCTGCAATGTGTAAAAAGTCTGTATCTGTATGAATGTGTGAAGAAAGTATTCCTCCACCTCCTCCTCACAACATCTGACTACCCGGCATAATTGGTGACTGCTCCATTTTCATTTTTTTCATGGTACAGTATGGTTATTTTATGCTGCGGAACGAATTATATGTTTTAATATGAATTTCTATGGGAAAATGCGTTTCGTATAATGCACTTAACGGACGTGCACCTGGAACGGAGTAAGTACGTTATACGAGGCACCACTGTAATTATTAAATATATAAAGACACAGCTCCTAATGCCTAACTCTAATGCCAAATTGTCTATTAAATTAGTATTATAGCAGTTTCTGGCCCAATAATATTCAGCTTTGATTGATGGATAGTTAAATTCTTTATTAATTTATTATATTTAAGATATTTTTTTATAAACATATTGAAATAAATACTACTTACCTTGAAAAATGTTTTCCTGAATCATCAGATGATGCAAGATTTCCTAAAAAAAATTCAAATAAAATGGTTGTTTACAAATATTATATTTCCCTAAAAACAATTTTAAATTATTTATTTATTTTCAATATATATTAATTAACATATATACATCTAAAAATAAAAATCTAAAATAAAATAAAAAATTTCTGTAAAAATTTTTAGACAAGAAATTACTAAATTTGTAATTTTAAATTATTTGCTAAACAGATATTTCACTAGACAAAGTATTGATACATGATAATGAAATATATAAATAATATTGTGATACAATGTAATGTTAAAAAGCTTTTGTACAATATATCATTTTTGTATATCATATAATATATATATATAGTTATGTGATATATTATACGTATATGATATATCAAATTTTTGTATAATTAAAAATTTATCAAAATTTTAGTATAAGTGTACATCTAAGATTCTATATCTACTGACTCTATCCTAAATCCAGGTCGTCAAGAGAGAGTTTACAAACAGTTAATTATCATACCTCTGTCGTATCCAGTGACAGAATATCAGTCAAGGCTTGGGACAATATTTGCACATAGCATAAAATTTATAAAGATGATCCTTTGGAGACTATATGGCGGGACAACTATATGGTTGTTTCCTGAGTATGTCCGCCTGAAAAGTTGGACATGCGACCATTATATACCCATCTAACATGGGAATTTGGTCTCGTGACAACCTGTTGGCAGTGGTGACATCACCAGACAAGGAAGTTTAAACAAAATTGACTCATAGGTCTCCTATTTCTTCTATTTGGTTTTAGATTCTCCTTGTGGATGTCATTAACTAACAACTTTCTCATGATTAACAATTGATTGTTTAATATATTTCCAAACCATTTTCCGGTCAATGTGAGTGGGAAGGGACTTGTTGTGAAAACCCCTCTCTAACACGAGTATGTTAGTCAATTGTTTACTGTTAAAGTGAACACCTGCTCATTTGTTTTCTAATTACTGTGGGAATGGATGAATTTCTAAATTAATGCATTTTTCATTAAACTTTTACAAGAGAATAGCCCTCGAATCATCACATTAGTTTCCTGTTGGCAAATTGCTCCAATATATGTCGAGTACAGAATATAAGTATTCTTTCAGAAGCATCCTGACCAGAATCAAACTACAGGCGGCCCTCAACTTTTGCACAATTCGCTATTTTGCACATTTTTAAAAATTCAACTTTTTAAATATTTGTCAATAATGAAAAAATTTCCTTCCATGCAGAATGCTCATACACTACAAAGTGTGGTAGTTCACTCTACATTCTCTGCCACACATTACTTCCTACAATAGCAGACTTCTCAGAATCCTAATCACTACTGTGTTGTTCCAAGCAAGAGGTCAAAACAATTTCAGTTTTGCATTAGGGCATGCGTCAACGTGTTGTGTGTTTTGCCAATTTATTTGTTTATGTTTAAATATTTCGTCCTGATAAATTGATAAACATGAGTGAGAAACAGAGAAACTGCAATGTTGATATGAACAAAAAAAAATTAAGGACTCATAAACTTCATACGATCGAGACAAAGATGAAAATAATTAAACATTCTGAAAACAGTAAATCTTTTGCTTCAACCGGATGTTCGTACAATATAAACAGATCTACGGTATTTGGAATTTTGAAAAATAAGAGTAAAATTAAGGAATAAATATTTTAAACACAGTTTTTGGTGCATATTTTTTTACATCCCTCTACTTTTGAACATTCAACATTCGCACACACTTTCAGGAACCAATTATGTGCGAAAGTCGAGGGTCGCCTGTATAAAAACTAATTATTATTTATTTTTACTTATTAAAAGTCAGAAATAATGAAACTAAAGATTCAAGAAATAAATGATTTCATCACATATTTCTTGAATCTACTTGAATCATCTTTAAAATGATAGTACTTAAAGACTAGGAGAAATGATCTTATTGTTTTTCATATTATTAACTATTATTATTATTTCTTGTCTGAATTGTTGAGCATAATTCTTGGGTACAATTATTAACTTTTAAACTTTCTATAACTCCACCAATGTTAAGATTTGTTATGATCTTACATTACAGCTAAAACAAGTCAAAATACTAATAAGTTAAAGAGTCTGATTTTACAAAACAAGACTTTTTAATTTATTAGTGTTTCAATTTGTTTAATTACTATGGAGTTAATGGAGAATGAAATTAGAACATTACAGACAATTTTCCTTCACTTCTCCAGTATTTTTCTACAAATTTTTATTATTAAAATGGAAGTAACAAAGGAAGAAATTTATTTTTTAACAAATTTCTTCCTTTCTTTCAAGCACTAAGCCTTGGTCATTAAGACTGCATAAAGAATTTACAACAACTAAACTAACTTAGACCTCTCAATTTTGAACTTTTTATTTACATTTGATTTAGTGATCAAAATCTACAATGATCATACATAAAAAAATCCATATCATTTTCACAAGATAACAGATCACATCACTAAAAAATTTATAAATATGATCTGTAGAAATATACAGTGAACAAACATATATTGGATAAAAATATAATGAACAAATATAAAGTAAAAAAAAAATATTAGACAAAATTTGCTTAAGTAGAAAATTTTAATTTTGTCAAATTTAGTTCTGTTGTTAAAATGTTAAATTTTTGAAAAGGTGTTCAAATTTAGTTACACCTGAAGATAGCCTATTGTATTAGACTGAAAACGTTTGTGTTTAGTTTAATAAACATTTCTCAGCAACAGAAGATGTATTGATAGTTCATTAAGTCAAATTTAGAAATGTGACATAATTTAAGAATTATTAAGGTATAATAAAAATGAGAGCATATGTATGATTCAATTCAATTTTTGATTAAAAACTATTACAAAATGTAACTACAAAGGAAAGACGTATTTTAATTTAAAATTTATGACAATGTATGCACTGCAAAAAATTTTACTGCAGGACACAAAATAACCCCTTAGCAATATACCATATAGTGGTCATGATGATTGAACAGTATGTACCTGCGCAATAGCTCATACAGCATGGTCACTCTACTGTTGAATTACTTTATAAGAGCAATGAAGTGTCATTTATTTTTTATGGTCAGAGGGAGGAAAACCTGAAGTCTACAAGAGAATGATGGTTCAGTATAAAGACAGGAGTGAGTGTAGGAATGGGTGGAAAGATTTATAAATGGAAGACAAAGTGTCAGTGAAAAACACTAGAGTGGAAGACCAGTTTGCATGACAACTGAGACAGTGAAACAGCAAACTGAGTAGCAAATCCATGACTACAGGCAAGTTATTGTTGATGAAGTTGCCATAGAATTCAACAGGAGTCACAGCTATGCATATAATATTATGCATAATGACCTCAGGTGTGAGAAACTGTGTAGCAGATGGGTCTGAAGGCAGCTGTCTATTGCACAACAGACAATTTGTCAAGAGCACTTTATGTTTGAGAAGGAGATGCTTTTCTCCATCACACTGTGACAGGAGATGAGTCCTGAATGCACCATTATAAACCAGAGAGTAAGAGGCAATCAATGTAGTGGAAGCATACATTGTCTCCAGTCAACAAAATATTCAAGACACAGGTTTCCGCTGAGAAAGTCATGCAATGATATTTTGGGATGTCAATGGCCCTATACTGATGAACTTCCAGGAAAAGGGTGAAACTGTGACTAGTGCTTGATACAGTGACATGCTGGTGAACAAGTTTAAGCCTGCAATACAATTGAAACATTAGGGACTTCTCTCAAAAGAAGTTTTGCTGCTTCACGACAATGTCCAGCCCCATTCAGCTGTGCATACAGTGGATATGTTATAGACAAAGTGATTAATATGGGTATTATGAATAATGACTAACAAAATTGGGCATGGTAATAAATTTCAATAATTTATTAAATTGATCGATCATTATAAATACTGCTACCACCTAGTCAGGCGAAGTGATAATAATACGTTGAGGAGTGATCATCCGACATACACTAGCCAATCAGAACTTACATCTTAGTTGCACATGTGTATTGCATTTAGTACCGAATTTTAAATTTATGTGACCAGTAGTTAACCTTTCTTCTTTGACAAAAGTAATGATCATGGAGGAATCATTAAGTGTTACGAATAATCGTTTCAACAACTGATTAAATGAGTTAATAGCAGAAAAAAGTGAAAACAATCAAATTTTTACAAAATCAGCATATTTGTCAATGATACAAAAAGTGAGAGTCAAAAATGAAAGTTACTTCTAAGTTACGGAAAGAATATCAGCGTTTACATAGATATGACGTTGTATCTATCAGAAATTTTAAAAAATTAATTATGCCTGTAAAAGTAAGTAATGCTATTAAATATTACGTTCACATGGAAGAAAAATTTCAGATATTGCACAATGCCCATATTGCTATTGGACATGGTGGTAGAAACCGTATGGAAAAAGAATTAAGTACGAAATATAAAAATATTACAAAAGAGACGATCATAATTTATTTGAACTTGTGTGAAATCTGTCAGAAAAAAAGAATATTCCTAAGGCTTGGTAGTTAAACCAATTTTATGTAATAAAATGAACTCAAGATGTCAGGTCAATCTTATAGATATGCAGTCGCAAGCCGATGAGGAATATAAATTTATACTTGTGTATCAAGACCATCTAACTAAATTCGTTCAACTACGACCATTAAAAACCAAAAGGGCTGAAGAAGTAGCATATGTTCTTTTAAACATTTTTACAATTTTCGGTGCACTGAGTATTCTACAAAGCGACAGAGAATTTGCTAATAATGTCATCAAAGAAATGTGTAATATGTGGTCCGAGTTAAAAATGGTGCATGGAAAGCCCAGGCACTCACAAAGTCAGGATTCAGTAGAAAGACATAAAAAATATGCTTAGTTCTTGGTTGGAGACTAACAATACTAACAAATGGTCGGAAGGATTACATTTTGTACAACAGATGAAAAATCAAGCGCATCATACTGGTATAAACTGCAGCCAGTGCCAGCCCGAGAAACTCAGCACCCTAGGCAAATGACTTTGATGTCGTCCCATTTAAAAAAAATTAGCAACAATATAAAACACCAATGTAAAATAGAGTATCTAATTTTTATTCAAATACGTAATAAAACAGCATAGTACAGAATTGTGATAAAAAACATTTATTTTTTCATTATTTATTTAATTTTATACCCAACTAGCTGCAAGGACCCACTTCGCTGGGTTTTTATTTGTGGGCAAAAAGTAACGATAGTAAAGATTAAGATAATTACATTATAGCCAATCTTACCCGTTTTCACAGAATGAAAGAATTAGGTCCCCCATTTCCAGACTAATTAGAGAATTTTTACGTCCAGTCAAACGAATTATTTTCAATTTGATCAATTTTCTGGAATGTTTACAATCGTTCTATAATCGAACCAATTCGAATACAAATTTGAATTCGAAAATTTTTAAAATCGAAATAGAAAATCTTCCACTTTCAACCACTTTCAAGCCCATATCTCCTGCACTTATAGCTATTGAGACGCAACCACCATAGTGCACGAATGGAGACTTGGGGCTACTACCACATACAAACACCATTCATGTGCAATGTGTAGTTTTGGCTGAAAAGTGAAATATAGGGACACACACATCCATTTATATATATATATATAATATTAGATGAATTTTAATACAGAGGAGGATCTAGAGAGACCTTTTAAAGCTATTGATGAAGTAAGTCAAAGTTGCTCAAACTCCGAAAGTCCAAGTGCCGTCCAAGAAAACATAATGAAAGATTATTCGATAATGCCACCCTTACATAGCAATATAACTGATGAAGTTCAAAGATCTACATCGTCTTCACATGAAAACAATCTAAACCAGGATGTTATTAGTATTACAGAATTGGTGAATGAAAAAGAAACAATCCAAACAATTGATCCAAAAATAGAAGAAAAAATAAGAAGTGTGTTTAAAACAAGGGAGATGGCTTTGCTTAATCTTAAAAAGCAAGCAGAAAAATAATTAATAAATCAAATTCCAAATACACAGCAGCTAATGTTGGTGATACAGTAAGGATTTATGTACCTGATGTAGATCGAGACTGCAGTGATGGAAAAAATATTTTAGGTGTTGTTGTTGCAGTTAAAGATAAAAACCTTTACAAACTGGGTACCAAATATGACATATTAAATCTATTATATTCCAGAAACCAATTTACTGTTTGTAAAGAAAACTTCATTTCTGTTAGAGATGTACCGGGTGCAGAAATTTCACTTAGAGAATGTGCAAGAATGTGATCAATTTCTGGAGGCCAAGGCTATAGTCAATGCTGCTGCAAAATTGATTGCAAATCTAATAATTGCAAATGCTACATAGAAAAAAATTATGTAATTCCAAATGCCATGAAAATTTTAATTGCTCAAATAAATAAACTAAAAAACATTTAATTTTTTATATAATTTATACCAAAAATTGTTAATAATACTTTTTGTTAATATTAGTTTAATTAATATAGTTAATAGTACTTTGAAATAATTCACAAAAAATAAATATTTCTAAATGAAATAAGTGGAGTTTTTTAATCAAATTTAAAATTCTGTACTAAACACAATGCGCACATGCAACTCAGAGTGCCGACTGGCTAGCGTATGTCAGATGATCACTCCTCAACTCATTATTATCACTTTGCCCGACTAGGTGATAGCAGTATTCATAATGACTGGTCAATTTGATAAATTAATCAGTATTTATAATACTGCACACCCTATTTGGTCATTATTCATAATGCCTGATTAATCACTTTGTCCATAACAGATACACTAAGTGATCTGAATTTACATATAATGGTGCATGGAAAGCCAGGCACTCACAAAGTCAGGATTCAGTAGAAAGACATAGAAAATATGCTTAGTTCTTGGTTGGAGACTAACAATACTTGGTTGGCGACCTTATTCTGTAGAACTTCTCCAATTATAATGCTAATTCATAAAAATTAAAATTTATTATAATCTGAAGCAATATGAAATTTGAGGTGGTAACATCTATCATAAAGTCCAGACTTTGCATCATAGGATTTTCAGTTATTTGGACTTTTAATAGAATATTTGCAAAGTCAGAAGTTTTATGATGACACTGAGGTAATAGAGGCAATACAAAGTTGGTTAAAAGCCATACCAAAAAGCCTTTTCTATATGGGCATCCGGAAGCTTGTGGACAGTGGACCAAGTGTGTTGTGAAGCAGAATATGTCAAAAAATAAGGAACAAAATTTTTTCAGTGCTCTTATAAAACAATTATTATAAAATTTCTGTTATTTAATGATTTTTCTCATATTGTGAAAATATAAAAAAATATTTGAATTAAAATAATTGCTATTAAAAATATAAAATAACTGTAATGATGTGACATCAACTAAAATTGTATAAATTTTCTACTAGAAACTAAATGATATTGTACTACAGGTAACCCCCATATAACACAACACTTCTATAGCACAGATTCACTCTAAC